GGGGCAGCCCTTCAGGTGCTGTGCCAGGGCCTTGCAGAAGCCCAGTGGGCTCAAGCCCAGTTACTGCTCAGAATGTTGAGCTGAAGAACAAAGGGCAGCTGCCCCCTTGGAGGCCACAACAAGGCTTTTAATAGTGATTCCCCTATCTTTTCTTCTTAATGGAGGCTCAAAAAGAAAATCAAAATTTAAGAAAGGTAGCATCTATATGGTTTTTGATTGTGTTGCATGGTTAGGAGCTCTGATAAGGGGATCATCAGAGCTATTAAAAGGCCCAACCTCAGAACACTAAGGCCTTTACAAAAGCACGTCAAGTGATTTTAAACCTACAGTGAGGGCAGAGAAGCAGTGGAGTACTGATCTCTTAGGTTCTGTAGAATAGATACCAAAGGCCACTCAATCTGGCTGGACTAGTACCCACTTGTCCACACCACTGGGTACGTTTGGAACATTGGTCAGGACCATACTATAGAGGGTTTTAAACTAAGAGTCTATCTGTAAGCAGTAGGGCATTAATGAAGATTTTTATATAAGGGAATGTGTTGAGAGCAGTGCTCTAGAAAAAAATGTATCTTTTAGTTGTCTGTAAATAGAAGGAGGAGAAAGAGGGAACTAGAAACAGGGTGTGGACTAAGCTGTTAGCAAGCACAACTCAGTAAGATGCACTCTAGGCTGCAATAATCCAATAGAATTGTAGGAATATTGCCCTTGTTTTTGAATATGGGATAATTAGCAAAGAAACATGGGCCATAATGCAGATATGAAAGCATGCTATTGAATTCAGAAACAGGTTGCAATGAAGTTCAATTCTCACGTGGTAATTCCGTTACTATATGGCCAAGGAAGGTTCTATTTAGGTGATTATTTGCTGTAAGTTATTGTGTCAAAACCACACCAATTTCATAAACTCCTACCAAAGGGTGAGCAAAAGAGAAACCACAGAAGAAATATACCTTCCCTGCTATTCCTCTTCCTTTCAGAAACATAAACAGCAACAATAAATTTACCACTTATCCATTTCTTGGGCTTTCTTAAAAAACATTTAAAAATATCTGTCAACTTGGCATGTACCTGACCCCTATTGGGCTCTAATGACTTTCAAAGGCTCCCAGGGAAAAGCAGAGTCATCCAAGAGTGCAGAGCTAAGAGGAAAAATCTCATCTGCCCCAGTTTTTGCATCTCGTAATAGTTACATACCATGTGAAATTACATGATGAGATGTTTTTTGAAAGTATATCAGTCAGGGACTTACCTGGTGGCACAGTGGTTAAGAATCCACCTGCCAATGCAGGGGACACGGGTTCCAGCCCTGGTCCGGGAAGATCCTACATGCTGCGGAGCAGCTAAGCCCGTGCACCACAGCTACTGAGGCTGCACTCTAGAGCCTGCAAGCTACAACTAATGAGCCCGCGTGCCTACAGCTACTGAAGCCCGCACACCTAGAGCCCATGCACCACACCAAAGAGTAGCCCCTGCTCACCACAATTAGAGAAAGCCCACACAGAGCAATGAAGACCCAACACAGCCAAAAATAAATAAATTTTTTTTAAAAAAAGTATATCAAGTCAGTCTCTCAAGAGATTAATAGAGGTACAGTTTTTCATAAAGAATTCGAGTTCCCTGTACATAACTTTGATGCTAACTTTTCCAATATGTCACATGAATGTGAATGGACAACCTCAAGTATTTAGATTCACTCACTGTAGTAAGTGGTAATTAACCTCACTGAGTTTATATATGAAAGATTAAGCTGTCATTCTAACTGATGTGAGTCATAACAAATGAAAATCATTAACTCTTTGCTATCAAATTGTTGTGGCTTTTTCTCTGCTGATTTTAAAGAATATCCAAGCTAAATTATGTCCTGAGGGGCTTAATTTTCAGACTCAGTTTCCTAAATCTATATCTTCCTTTGGATTTGGGGAAAATTTCCAAATTAATGTTAATAAAGATTTACGAAATCCTTGGAGGAAGACTTCTTCTAACCATGAAACCAATAGTTAAATTACCAGGATTAAAAGTAAGTTTTCATAAAAATAGAACTACCATATGATACAGCAATCCCACTACTGGGCATATACCATGAGAAAACCATAATTCAAAAGGAGACATGTACCACAGTGTACATTGCAGCACTATTTACAATAGCCAGGTCATTGAAGCAACCTAAGTGTCCATCGACAGGTGAATGGATAAAGAAGATGTGGCACATATATACCATGGAATATTACTCAGCCATAAAAAGAAAGGAAATTGAGTTATTTGTAGTGAGGTGGATGGACCTAGAGTCTGTCATACAGAGTGAAAGAAGTCAGAACGAGAAAAACAAATACTAACAAATACTTTATATGTATGCTAACACATATATATGGAATCTAAAAAAAAAAAAAGGTTCTTATGAACCTAGGGGCAGGACAGGAATAAAGATGCAGATGTAGAGAATGGACTTGAGGACATGGGGAGGGGGAAGGGTAAGCTGGGACGAAGTGAGAGAGTGGCATTGACATATATACACTACCAAATGTAAAATAGATAGCTAGTGGGAAGCAGCAGCATAGCACAGGGAGATCAGCTTAGTGCTTTGTGACGACCTAGAGGGGTGGGATAGGGAGGGTGGGAGGGAGGCACAAGACAGAGGGGATATGGGGATATATGTATATGTATAGCTGATTCACTTTGTTATACAGCAGAAACTAGCACAACATTGTAAAGCAATTACAAGATGTTAAAAAAAAAAAGCAGTTTTCATTTAAAAACATGTGCCCATGAAAGAATTACTTCAAGGTATATTTTAGAAACGCAAGCATATGTAAACATAGTGGTCTTCCATAGAGTTTTACAGACACTCTGAATGTCAACTAAATGAATGAATTGACAAGAAAGCAACACTGAGAGAGCTATAATGCCAGTTTCTTATAACCGCACAACTTTAAAGCCACATCCCAAAGATGAGCCACTTAACGACACAGGTGTTACACCTTGATATCAAGGGCAGGACTATGTATCGAGAGGAGCCAGAGTTTGAGTTAGCTATACCCCATTAAGGAGAGGATAGTGTGGACAGCCACCTCCCCTGGGAAATAGCTAACGCAATGACAAATGTTTTCACGTTTGCTACATTGAATAGTGTATTGAATGCAAGAGAGACATTGAATGCAATGCCTCTGCTGGAAACATGACCTTTTTTTCAAGGTCTGTGATAGGAGACTGTCTTCTGCGTAAAATCGTCTTGTAACATGTTGCTTCTATAATTGGAACTCAAACGTATGGAGTCAATACTAGTTTTCCCCTATAGATCTTCATCCTGTAGAGCCTGAAGCCCTACACAGGGGTTCTATATAGCAGGAGCTACTCTCAGCTGCCTTTGATAGTTCAGGGAGCCGTGCTACTAAAATCTCAATGTGAGTACAAATTACCTGAGAATCTTTTTAACATTCAGGGTCTGATTCTTTAGGTCCAGATGGGACCTGAGACTCTGTACTGCTAACCAGCTCCTAGGTGATGTTGATGATTACTGGTCCATGGTTCACACTTCGGGCATCAAGCTCATAGGAGGTGGATTTCTAAGTAGTTAGAATAAGCAAGTATAGTGTGATGGAAGAGCACCAGATCTTGACTCAGAACACTAGTTATGGAAATATGATGAGTCACTTGACTTTTCTGAATCCAAATTTTTCTCATTAGAAAAATGAGTGTAATAGGACAGTAATACCTGCTGCCTGGGATTGCTGTGAGAATTAAATTAATGATGTTATGTGAAAATTGACCAGAGCATTTGGCACATATTCATTGTTGAATAAATGATTGTTGACCCTACGTAGTAAAAACATAAGCACACAGTTCAGTATTGGTAACTCATAAAGTTGGGGGACCCTTAGGCTGTGTGCCCTCCGTAGTTCCAGTGGTTCTATTCTTCATTCCACCTCTTTTGCCAATTACAATGTCTAGCATTTAGCAAGTGGTCAGTGTATGTGGAATTGTATTGATGGCAAAGTTGATCACTGCCAGCGTATATTTTTGGCTTCAGGGATACTGATATCAGGCTAATGACACAGTGTTTCCCCATGACACTAACAGGAAAGAGAACTTTCGCCCAAAATAGTGGTAACAACTTTGAAGCCTTGAGTTCTCTTTAAATAAAAAATGTAATCACTGGGGGCTTCCCTGGTGGCGCAATGGTTGAGAGTCCGCCTGTCGATGCAGGGGACACGGGTTCGTGCCCCAGTCCGGGAAGATCCCACATGCCGCAGAGCAGCTGGCCCTGTGAGCCATGGCCACTGAGCCTGCACGTCCAGAGCCTGTGCTCCACAACGGGAGAGGCCACGACAGTGTGAGAGGCCCACGTACCGCAGGAAAAAATATATATATAATCACTGGGAGAAGACTAAAATAAAGATCATCAGCCCGATTTTTAATAAAAATATGAGGATAAAAGAGCTGATCATTCTTTGCCAGCCAGTAGTCACAGTATCTTCTAATTTCACAAATTATGTGTAAAAGGTATCTCTCTTGATAGAAAAGCAAAGATGAACGTGGGAAGTTTGGCTGGCTTGTTGCTGATAGGTGGCTCAGACCCCATTAGGAGCCAGCCTGCAGAGGTGCAGTTAGTACTGCAGGGGTTCAAACCATCCTCCACATGGTTGAAAACTGGCTCCCATGCCACCCAGGTCATGTGCCCCAAATTGCTCCTCTGAAGGTCAAACTTTCTGCTTAATAAACTTGTACATTTTTAAATAAAACTCTCAAGAGCACACAGCGAGAAATGGAAGGTAGAGAAATCAGTGAATAACCTGCAGTGTCATTTATATCTTAACATCTCTTTCCATTGAGAATTCAGAGACAGAAACTTATTAGCACCTGGAGGAAGTCTAATGTAATTCATTTGCAGTAAAATCAGAGTGAATCCGTTAATCTTTGCTAAAAGAAATGAGATTTTCAAGTCTAATCAGAGGATTTAAAGTTTTATTAAAAGGTGTTCTTTTTTACCCTCTTATAACCTATAGGTCTCAGGAGAAAAAGGAAGAGGCTATCATCTTACTGAAAGATTCCATTAAATATGGTCCCGAGTTTGCAGATGCATATTCAAGCTTAGCTTCATTACTGGCTGAGCAGGTAATTGTTACCATTTAGTTTCACATAATATTTTTAAATGTTTCTGTTGAATATATAAATTAATATTACACAGATTTTTATATGTATCATTTAACTTGTAAGCTCATATTAGACAACTGATCTCTATGTCAGTTTTCTTCTTGATAGAAATTACAAACCTAGTTTTCTCACTCCAGTATTCTTTGTGTATGTAGGTGGCCTCTAGACAAAGATGGTCCATTATATAGGCCATTGCTATATTCTCCATCACTTTGGGACAAAATCTAACAAGAACAATACATGGTATTTGCTGGTTTTATTACTACTCACTTATATTTTTCTGGGGAATTGCTAATGGTCTAAGATCTCTGAACTCATTATGGAACCAATTACCAATAATCTTATAGATCCTATGTCTTATAACTGTTAGAAGATCACAGGGTCTTGTAGGACAGGCTCCTAAGAGAGAACATTTCTCACGGCGTAAAGCAGAGGGGTATTTTGATTCCCCCTCATTCTTCTCATTGTGTCTAAACCATTTGATCCCACTTTTGGTGTCCTGGATGCATGCCCCCTGCTGTGGGGAAAACAAATGTAAGTTGTCTTCTCTAAATTGACGATATAGTTTCGTTGACACACATAAGTGCCCACAATAGAAGGTAGATTCTGCTATCCACACAATTGCCAGATTGTCTTTAAAATTAAACTTAGCACCTTTGAAAGATGCCCTGCAGCATTGGCTTAAATATAATGAATGATTTGATGCTGCATGTCAGGTACAGAGGGGTGCAATTTGCGTTTCAAAAACTGTGGAGGTTTCACCAGGAAACAAAATTAGGACACTCAATGAATATTTAAGTGTCAGAAATGATAAGTCTAGTTGTCTTGCTCTAATATTCTCCATATAGTGTAGGTGGGCTTTAGACAAAAGCCTGTGTCTGTAGTGGATGATTTTTTTTTTTTTTTTTTTTTTTTTTTTGCGGTACACGGGCCTCTCACTGCTGTGGCCTCTCCCGTTGCGGAGCGCAGGCTCTGGACGTGCAGGCTCAGCGGCCATGGCTCACGGGCCCAGCCGCTCCGCGGCATGTGGGATCTTCCCGGACCGGGGCCCGAACCCGTGTCCCCTGCATCGGCAGGCGGACTCTCAACCACTGCGCCACCAGGGAAGCCCTGTAGTGGATGATTTTAATACCTGTTTTAGCACAATGTTTAAGCTGAAGTGACGCTCGCCATGTTCTATGGTATACACGGCAGTCCTCAGCTGCCTTTGGCTTGTGTTGAAGCAGACACAGTGGGAGTTTCCTGAAGAAAAGATTGACTCCATCATTATTCTCTTTTCTCACCTCATCCTGGCTCCTTCATTTTCATAGGAAGACCCTCCCTGCCTCTGCCTGGTTGGGTGTCTTGCAGCTACTCAGACAAGCCGCACACAAAGTTAGGGCCTTTGCACTAACTGTGCCTTTTGCCTGCAACACTGTTCTGCCTGACGTCACAGTTCCTTCCTCATCTCATGCTGGTTTCTGCCCACATAGTTCCATATCAGAGGGCTGTCTGTGATTACCCTTTCAAAATAACTCCCTCGCTGCCCCACATGTTTCTCTGTCTCCTGGCCCTGGCTGACTTCTCCCCAGAGCATTTATCACCGTCTAACATACATCTATTTGCATGTGATCTTTCTCCCACCACTAGAATATTTCCGCGAGCCAGTCTCCATGAGAATGGCTGTCTCTTTTACTCAAGGCTTTCCCCCCATGTCTGTCACGTTGTATGCAGGCAGTAAATACTGAGTGAATAAATGAATGGATATGAACTGAAGACCATGTAGCTCCTGCAATCCAGGACGTGATCTAGATTTCACTCATATTTGAAGTAGGGCTGGGCATGTGGGCCACCATGCTGTTTCATAACGGAACTGCGCCTCACGTCGTGCCCTTGTCCTTCACTGAGGGACAGCGTGAGGACAGCCAGGTGAAACTACTCCTTCTAACTGCAGGGTTGGGGCGGGGTTGAGGCCAACACCTGTTACATGGTTCACTGGCTTCTGAATGAGGACTCGAGGGAGAAATTTCTGTCATGTCTCAGGATTAGGAACGGCCAGCCTTCTCCTGAATTACACGTTTTTTGCTTTATTTTTAATCTAATGCATGAAGGACCTTACAAATGCTAAGAAAATCAGTTCTAGTTCCATCCCCCTTGGGCCCCCCTCTGACTAACCGCCGCCTGGATGGGATAGGCTGCTTTTCTGTGTGCGCTGCTTGTACTTGGTTTATCATTTTTCTTAATAATTTATTTTATTCAATTTGTGCTCTATATTTTTGAAAGCTGCCTCCGTTTCTCTGTAAGTGAATAAATAAAGCATTGCATTGAGTTCCCAGTCATATCTTTTTTCACAACTTGGCGGGGCAGATAGTGAACACTGAAGCGCTCTTCTTGATGCAAATTACCCTGAAGGTAAATGACAAAGCCACTCACCTAATACCAGTGACGACACAGTGTGTTGTTTTGGGGGAGCTCTTTACAGACATTCACACAGTTCCATCTTCCTATAGTGCCGTCTTTTCTTTCTCTCCTTCTAAATCATCCTCATATTTCAAGATTCAGTTCAACTTTCACGTCCTCCGCCAACACTCATCCACCTCCCCGTCACATGGGAGTTGTTAGATTTTCCTCGGAGCTCCTGTGACATCTTTGGGAACATGCATCAACTCACAAACCAATCATATATTTTTATGTCTTGAATTAACGTCTGAACTATAGTTTAAACAGTTTGTCAGGCTTATTTTTCCTCACAAGACTGCAAGTTTTATAAGAAAAACCTTGTCTTCCTTGTATGCCTGTTCCTTCTCTAGGGCTCAGGGTACTTCACTGTATAAAGCAGGTGGGTATTCATACAGCATCTCTGGGCTTAATGCACTTTGGAGGTCAGTTCCCCTGTGCTGTGCTATTAGGAGCATTTGACAGTGAACAGGGCGGCAGCCTGATTGTAGACCCCACTTCATAGTACAGACTATGTACAGACCCCACTTCCTTGCCTGTACAGACTCTGGTGAGGAGTGCTTTACCTCTCTGAGCCTCAGTTTCCAAATCTGAAAATTGATAGCTATATGGATCTGACATTTTAAGAGTGTCTAAAACTATCCGTGTAACACCAAGTGCTAATGAATATTTTCATGAATAACTTAAGGCTCCACTTTAATTAGTGCTATGGTTTCTATACAAACAAAACATTAACATGTTAATATTGTGAAAAGCAATTTGTTTTACTAAATACTGTATCCAAAAGTTTCAAGTTGTATTCCTTTTCTAAATTGATGAACTCCAAATTCATAAAAAGTTACTTTTTTTTGTTTGTTTAATTAATTAATTTATTTATTTTTGGCTGCTTTGGGTCTTCATTGCTGAGCACAGGCTTTTCACTAGTTGCAGCGCCCAGGCTTCTCATGGCGGTGGCTTCTCTTGTTGCAGAGCACGGGCTCTAGGCGCATGGGCTTCAGTAGTTATGGCACGCAGCCTCAGTAGTTGTGGCGCACGGGCTTAGTTGCTCCGTGGCATGTGGGCTCTTCCCGGACCAGGGCTCAAACCCGTGTCCCCTGCATTGGCAGATGGATTCTTAACCACTGCGCCACCAGGGAAGCCCTAAAACAATACTTTGAATCATTTCCTAATGATAGATTCCTAGAAGTTGAATTCCCATATCAAAGAGTATCAGCATTTCATGACTTTTGAGATGTGTTACTAAACTGCTTTCTTAAAGAGTGGTACCAATATGCTGTGCCACCAGCAGTGTGCAGCCTCTAAGTCTTGAATGTTAGCGGAACATTTAAATGGAAATAGCATGTGGACAGATGACAGTGGGAGAGATCAGGGCTAAAGATAGATTTAGGACTTCAAATAAATGAGTCCATATTATGAGTAGGTAATCCCTCTGAGGGGAAAATGAAGAGTAGTGTGGGGAGGAAAACCTTCAAGAATTTTTAACCTTCTCATTTTGTAGATAAAAATATGAGCTGCACAGAATTAAGTACTGCTCAAGGTCATACAAATAACTAGTGTCAGGACCAAGACTGGAGCCTGGTAACTCGATTCCTTCCCCACTGCTCTTTCACTGTATGATGCTGGGGTCCCATGATTGGACTGTGGTAATGGGGCTGTAGTTAATGAGGTTAGGTATACAAGGGGCCAGGTGGGAGGGGGGAAGAAAAATGATAGAGGAAACCTCATAACATGAGTTGTCATAGATGTTAGATACATAAAAGGATCCAGAATAAATTTGCCCCTCTGTGTCTACTGCAGCATAGAAGTCAAGAAGACAGGACAGAAAATAAACTCTTAGATTTGAAGTCCGGATGGTCTCTGGCTTACTAGCCTCTTTTGGTTTTCTATTAGCATTCAGAACTGGCCGTACTCCAACTTCACAGATAGGATTGTAAACATTTACAAGCCCACCATCATTTTTAACTAGCCTACTCTTGCCATAGATTATATAGCTTGCATTACACTAGCAGTAAAGGAAATGAAGTTAACATAATGACTTGATCCACTGTACATTATTGCTAGCCCCAGGTTTATAGCCTATTGAAAAACTCAATTAATTAATTTGATAACACTTAAAATATTTTTCTTTTATATATTTTGGGATATGACTTCACCTGATACAAGAATGAAAAGAAAATTGGAACAGTAAAATATAAGTTAGAAGTATAGATCAAAAATAAGAGAGGTCCACGGTCAGCGTCTCTTCTTTGACAAGTGCCGTCTTTTGGGTAGATTCAGGCACATATACCATCGCATTTGTGGTCAGGTCACCTTGTGCTGAACCTACCGTAATAATTTATTGATTAAATTATTCAGCTCATATTTATTGAACATTTAGGTATCACCAAGTATTAGAAATTGCTGAAGTAGCAAGGTACGGGCCTCAACTCATGGAACTTAGAGTCTAAAAGGTAAGGATACTCTTAAGTGAAGAATTACCACCCTTTCCCCAATGTCTAACCCAGTTGTGACAAAAGGGCAAAGAG